ATTTGAATTGATAAAAAAATAAAATAAAATCTTATAAATACTATGATATTCATAGAACTTATTAGGATATAAATTTTCGAAAAACATTATGTATTGTGTGTATTTACTGAAACTTACATCAGGAAATAAAAGAATAAAGAATTAAAAAAAGGAAAACAAATTACTGTTTCGATCGGAATTTCGCCAAAACCGACCGGTTTTCGAGAACTTGTTGACAAACTTAGGGAATTTGTATTCAAATTTTGGTTTATGAAATTTGTTCGGAATTTACCAGTTTTTCACCGGATTTCGCGAAATTCCGAATTCCGCCAGTGCACTAAATTCGTATGATAATTTTTAAAGAAATTTATCACGGAGCAAATGCACAATAAAAATCATAGTGCTTATTACTGTCTAACCAATGGAGGAAGGAATAAAATAATTCCTCGATGCATTCGTCGCCTCTTGTGGTGCTTATCACAGTGCTTAATACTGTCGATGGAGAAAGAAATGAAAAAAAAAAAAGAAAATCCTCGATGCATTCAATCGGTTCCTCGGGGAAGAAAGCTCGCCGCTGGTCTGGTCCTCCACCCCCGCCGCTCGCTGCCCCTATCTGCTCCTCGTGGCCGGCGGATCTGGGGCCAGCGAGCTCACTGCCGCCTCTTGCAGCCGTGGAAGAAAGAGAGGCAATCACTCATCGCCTCTCGTCTTCCTGTTGCCCTGTTGTTTGCTGCACCTCATGGCCGCCATGCATATGCAGTTCGTCGGAGTTGAAGAAGGAGGGCGGTAGTGGCATGCGAGGAAGATGGCGGCGGCGGCGCAGGCCAGGGCTGAGCCTCACCAAACCCTCGTTTTTGCTCGCACGCTCCTGGCCAGGCCGAGTTGTGAAGCTCGATTTGAGCGTTTCTGCTCAGCCTGGCTGAGGAGCTCTTTTTGCATGGGAAGGCCATCCAGACAACCGAAAATTGCATCCACAGATACGGGCCAAGCCTCATGCAGATGCAGGCAACCAAACACACCTATATTTCACGGGGTGCATACGCCGGGTGTACGGAGAAACCCCCGCGACGCCCCGCAACTGACGGGCCCGCGGCGTGGTGTAGACCGCCCAAGAATTGGTCTATGGATAGAGAGCGGTGATCCCTCTCGCTGCGGCACTGCCATTTTCCATATCCACCCTTAGAATCTCCGCAAATTCGTCATCTACTCCCTCGCATCGCATGGCACCAGCTTCCACCACCGGCGACGCGCCACGTGGACGTCCGGGGACGCTATATAAAGCCGGCGCCCTCGGCCTCCTCCGCGACCCATCCAAACACCCATCCGCCGCCGCTGGCTGAACTCGCGGGTGATCTGATCGGAGCCGGAGGAGGAGGAGGAGGATGTTCGTGGAGGGCTTCAGGGTGGAGAGCCCGCGCGTGCGGTACGGCGACGGGGAGATCGAGTCGGAGTACCGATATGACACGACGGAGGTGGTGGCGCCGCCGTCGCCGGAGAAGGGGTGGGTCGTCCGCCCCAAGTCCGTCACCTACCACTTCAAGACCACCACCACCGTCCCCAAGCTCGGGTACTACGCATGTATAATTAAACACGAAATGCTAGCTGCTCATCTTTCTTCTCATCTTGTTGATGAGATGAGACGATCGATGGAGAGGAATTTTGAAATTGGGTAGTAGTACCTGTTTGTTTTTCACTTAATTACTTAATTGTGTTCGATTTGATTAACTTTTGGAGTTGTTTATGTATGCAATGGATGAAATGCAGGGTGATGCTGGTTGGATGGGGAGGCAACAACGGCACCACGCTCACGGCTGGTGTCATCGCCAACAGAGAGTAATTAATTAATTAATTAGATAAAATCTTAATTATAACGTTATGTTGAATTGCTCGTTTATCCAGATGTTGTAATTGGATTCTAGTTCATCCACAAAAATGCATGAGTTCATTGCATCATTATTGAATTCCTCACTTGTCAAGAAATGATATGGTGCAGTTGCATTGGATTATGGTTTATCCAAAATAATGCATGCAATGCGTCCTGTCTTTTTTGAATGCCAAGAATGATATGTAGTGTGGCAGAATATGAATTATTCCTCATTTATCCAAAAATGCATGCCTGCCTGCCTGCTTTGGACTGCCAAACAGTGATACTCCTACTATATGTAGTGCAGGGTTCAAAATTCCGGAATGAATTTCGGTCATTTTGGACTCTCTAGATACGAAAAAATTTTGGCTGAAGTTTTATTTTTTTTTTCACTTTTTTTTGTGAATTCAGTAATATTTTGTTCTAATTTGACCAACATTTGTTCAAAATTTCGGTATATCAGTGACCTCTGATTGAATCGGCCAAACCGAAAATTTAAACCCTGATGTAGTTTGCAATTAGTGCATAACTATATGAACTCATCATTTATTTATTTATTTATTTAAAAAAATCGTCTCCATGGATCCTGATTGCCAAATTAAAAATGATATAGTGTGCAACTGAATTCCTCATTTATCCCACATGGTTAATTAATTGTTCTAATTTCAAAAAATATTTCAGGGGAATTTCATGGGCGACCAAGGAGAAGGTGCACAAGGCCAACTACTTTGGTTCCCTGACACAATCATCCACCATCAGGGTTGGGAGCTACAACGGGGAGGAGATCTATGCGCCTTTTAAGAGCCTTGTACCCATGGTGACCCCATCTTCTCAAATTAACCTTCTACCACTCAGATCATATCATAAAATTTCCCCTTTATCTACATTTTCTATCATGAAAAGATATATAAAAAACGACTCTATTTATGGTTTTTGACAATGTAAAAACATTCTGATTATTATACGATGCACCCATATATATATGGATTTGCGTATGCGAACAATCCAACCTATTTTCCTGTAAGCGATCGGGTCTTATACGTAGTTTATTAAGTGTACTGTATTTCAAAATATTTATTTTTAAATATACAGTCGTATTTCTCACGCTTTTCTTAATTCATTGACACCAAGTTTTTTTCTTCATATTCTATTTTCACTCATATTTCTTAGACTATAATAATACCATGATATAACCATATACTAGTCTCTACCTAGCCCTTGAAATTGACCCTATTTTCATAATACAATAAAGAATCGTAATATTTCTGACACTAACTAATTATGTCAATTTGAGATACAAACATACCAGAATTGATGAATCGTAATACTTTGAGACAGGCAGACACTGATGATGATAATTAATTTGATTCGGTTTTTGAAGGTAAACCCAAACGACATCGTGTTCGGTGGGTGGGACATCAGCAGCATGAACCTGGCCGACGCCATGACCAGGGCTCGGGTGCTGGACATCGACCTGCAGAAGCAGCTCCGGCATCACATGGAGTCCATGGTGCCCCTCCCCGGCGTCTACAACCCTGACTTCATCGCCGCCAACCAGGGCTCCCGCGCCAACAATGTCATCAAGGGCACCAAGAAGGAGCAGGTCGAACAGGTCAAGAAGGACATCAGGTAGCTAGTCTCTGAGCTACCAAAATGATATCATCTTGCTTGTTGCCTCTATTTCAGGTTATAAGTTGTTTAATTTGATTTTGGTCAAAGTCAAACTGCTTCAAGTTTAACCAAATTTATACGCAAATATAATATATTTATATTAGCAAATTAGTTTTATTAAATCAATAATTAAATATATTTTTATAATAAATTTATTTTGGGTTGAAAATGTTACTATTTTTTCTATAAATTAAGTTGGTCAAACTTGAAACAATTTAACTTTGATCAAAGTTAAAATGACTTATAATCTGTAACGGAGGGAGCAGTAGACTGTATGTGTGTTATTTTCTTATACCAAAACAAGCTATGTGATTTTCTGTTTGACATGAACTGACAAAATTCAGCAAAAGTTTGTATGTACATTAATTTTGGTTTTGATGGACATGGGTGGGATTTGTTGGTATAAGGGAGTTCAAGGAGAAGAGCAAGGTGGACAAGGTGGTGGTGCTGTGGACGGCCAACACGGAGCGGTACAGCAACGTGGTGGCCGGGATGAACGACACCATGGACAACCTGCTGGCGTCGCTGGACAAGGACGAGCCGGAGATGTCGCCGTCGACGCTCTACGCCATCGCCTGCGTCATGGAGGGCGTCCCCTTCATCAACGGCAGCCCCCAGAACACCTTCGTGCCCGGTGCGCCGCCCGCCGTCTGCTAGCTACATCCTCCATTAACGACGACGACGAGACATTGTTTCATGAATCCCGTTCTTAGGTTGACGATGATGTGCTGATGCATGGACAGGGCTGATCGAGCTCGCCATCAAGAAGAACTCGGTGATCGGCGGCGACGACTTCAAGAGTGGGCAGACCAAGATGAAGTCCGTCCTCGTCGACTTCCTCGTCGGCGCCGGCATCAAGGTATATATGTACATATGATGAACTCCAACTCGGGTGATCGCGATCGATGAAACATGAATTGGTTTGTTGTGCATATGGAAATTGGCAATGGCAGCCGACGTCGATCGCGAGCTACAACCACCTAGGCAACAACGACGGCATGAACCTGTCGGCGCCGCAGACGTTCCGGTCCAAGGAGATCTCCAAGAGCGGCGTCGTCGACGACATGGTCTCCAGCAACGCCATCCTCTACGAGCCCGGCGAGCACCCCGACCACGTCATCGTCATCAAGGTCCGCCCGCCCCCATTCTTGATCCAATTCATTCTTGCAGTAGTGGCACTCATCATGCATATGGTGTGGCTGATGATTTGGTTGCTGTTTCTATGGATTAATTGTTAATTGCTTTGGCACTCATGCACAGGGTTAGAAATTCCGGAATGAAATTTCTGAAATTCAGTCATTTCGAATCCTCCTATTCCGGAATGAAATTTCTGAAATTCAGTCATTTCGAATCCTCCTATTCGATATTATTTCGGCTGAATTTTTTTTTTGTTTTTTTAAATTCGGTAATATTTTGTTCAAATTCAAATTTGGTGACCTCCGATAGAATCTGCCAGACCGAAAAATTATACCCCGCTGATGCACGGTGGCTGATGATTTGGTTGCTGTTTCTATTGAGTAATTGTTAATTGTTGCAGTATATTCCATACGTTGGGGACAGCAAGAGGGCCATGGACGAGTACACCTCGGAGATCTTCATGGGAGGGAAGAACACCATCGTGCTGCACAACACCTGCGAGGACTCGCTCCTCGCCGCGCCCATCATCCTCGACCTCGTCCTCCTCGCCGAGCTCAGCACCAGGATCCAGCTCAAAGCTGAAGACCAGGTAACAACAGCAATGCAATCACATCTTGCACAGATATTGGAATGGACCCAGTTCATCTCTGACAACGAACTCTCTGAATCTACTGTCCGTTCTGCTCATTGTGCAGGATAAGTACCATTCTTTCCATCCAGTGGCTACCATCCTGAGCTACCTCAGCAAGGCTCCTCTTGTGAGTGCATTCATTTCCTGAAATCAAATGCACTTTTGGCCTGTTAACTTTATTGCCATTTTAGACCATAACAAATTTTAGCGTTACCAAATTTTAGTAGGATAACAAACTAAATATAATCTTATTATTGCCATCATACCAAAATTTCGTAGTTCCAGAAGTTCTCTCATGAGAACACTACTCAAATTTGACAAACCTCCAAACCAAACACGTTACACATCTAACGCTAGCTACCAAAATTTGATAACATCAAAATGTACCAAAATTTGGTAATTTTGGTAAGGTTGATTTTGACAACAAGTGAACAAGCCCTTCCATTTTCACTTGCAGGAACAAAACAAATTTCTGTTAGTTTCTGTTGCAATGCAATGTGCTGAAAAATCATTTGAAATTGATGAGGAGTTTGGTTGATGAAACTGCAGGTTCCCCCAGGCACACCAGTGGTGAATGCACTGGCCAAGCAGAGGGCCATGCTGGAGAACATCCTGAGGGCCTGTGTTGGACTGGCCCCTGAGAACAACATGATGCTTGAGTACAAGTGATATAGGCCTTGACAGGTCCTCTTATCAGGAGGGATGATGAACAGCAAGTGGTGGAGGAAGGTGACAGTTTTCTTCAACAAGAAAAAGAACAAAAAAAGAGAGAAAATGAGGAACACCTGAAAGAAATAACAAGAGGCCAAGTGGGGAAGCAAATGAAATGATCAAGTGATATTCATTCAGAAAATGGGTGTCATTCACTTGGATCCTCTTAATTGGGGGCATCTATTGACAGTTTGACACTCTGCTCCATGATTTTTTTTTTCATTTTTTGTTTTTTTAATTGAGATGGAGACTTTTTTCAGCTCTGCTGCTAGTATGCTGTGAGCTGCATGAACATTGGTTAATATTGTGTATGATGATAGGTGAAGCAAGGAACTAATCGTCTTCTATGCTTATGGATCTATAGTACAAGTTGTCAGTATTACTGTTAAGTCTTATATCTGGAACACTTTTGAATCAAAGAACAGCTTTGGTCCTAGTCTGTATTTATGAGGCCATGTTCTGCTTATCAAAATGCAGCAATTTCCTGTTATTATCCTGTAATTATGCAGATAGTGAAAAAAAGCAACCTTCTTCAACATCTGCATATGCTGTGCAAATTCTGTACTAATGGCTAAAACATCTTGGCATCCATGGGTAAACATCAGGTTAATGTGAAATGAGGTGTGATGGTTACAGTTGCCAGTGCCAGGAGGTGTCTTGCGGCAATTTCCAGTTCATGTCACATAATCAATGTATGTTCCTTTCCTATGCACGGTTGTCTCTCACACACACGGCAGATTTCTTCCACCGGTTTACAACTCGAACCAAGGATCACAATATTACTTTCCAATGCTAAATTAGCCCAAAAACCGCGAGCAATTCGGCTCAAAGATACTTACACAGGTTAATGGCCTCTTGCTCCTCGCTCACAGATAGTCTTTTTCAGCAGCTGCACTTCTGGTTGTACAATATATTGATGAGTGTGGTGCACCTTGCTAGGAGGCTAGGAGTGCAGCTTCAACCAAACTTGAGAGGGGGACATCATGGATCATGGATGTCTTTTACAATTTAGATTTCAGATTTCCTGACAATGGACACGACGACGGCTATGTCATCGAGTTTGCCCCCGCTGAAACCCAGGTACCCCACTGCAAGAGCGGCATCTGAGAATGGGGTACTTCCGGCTGCAGATCTACCAACTTCCTGCGCCTTGGCAGCCAGGTGTTCAGCAATCTCCTGCAAGTGGAATAGCCATGCAATGATTCAATGTTCAGATTCGCTAGGCATTTTATTTATGAGGCAAGTTGATTCTAACCGTTGGTTTGAGATCGGCTTGTAAAGATTTCGAGACCATGGTGGCTACTTCTTGCTCATACACATTGTCAAAAAGACCATCACTTGCTGTTACAATGACATCACCATCCTCCAGCTCAATTGTATAATTCTGAAGGAAAAGGGTAAACAATAATGTTAGTTTTAAATTACTTAATACGATTGCACATGATTTATAGTACAAAGGCTAATCTTTGCACCTGTACAAGTTTCAGGGGATTATCGCCCTTCTCAATTTGCAGTGGAAAGTTGAAACCATAAACCATTGGTTTTGATTTTTGGTACACCTCTCCATTTCTTATCACCAGAAATCCAGAGTCTCCAATATTCGATGCATTGAGGAACTAAAACAATGACAAATGTAGCATTGAGGAACTAAAACAATGACAAATGTAACAATAAATACAGTGCAATTGGTTCATTAGAAACAAGAAGAGTCTTGATCAAAAGAACAGACCTGGCCATCAAAGTGAGCAACCAAAACAGTGGAAGAACCAGGAGAGTGCGCTTCATCTGCAGCCTTGGAAAGAACTTGTTCGGGTTTAATATCTGCAGCGCCTTGATTCTCCATAATGAACTTTTTACAACCATCCATTAGCTCCCTTGCATAAAGCCCTGCATTGATACCTGTTTACAAAAATTATACAACAACTTAGCACTTCAGCATTCCCATGAATAATTATGATACACTAAGAACTTCAGTATGAACATGTATCAGACACATAGTGTTGGCTCAAAATTAACTTTGCAGCTAATAAATAAATGAGTGAATGTTAACATTGGCCCAAGGGTACTACCGATATGAACACATTTTGCCCTCTTACTTGAAGACTTGGTCCAAACCAGGTTGTATGCCTTTCATTCTATATCCATATATAGAGCCTGTGGTAGACCAGTGGCCTGTGTGGGTTGACATTTCAAAAGAATATTCTTCTAAAGAAGGATGTTCCTATTTCTTGTACTAGTAGTAATAAACTTATTCTACAACCTCCATTTGACCATTTCCACATCCATTCTACAGTATTATAGTTCCATTTCTTTTGTGCAAGTCAACTTTTGGTGAAGAGTAGATCCAATACGGGGTGTAAAACAGAAAAACCCATATTCATCTCCCAGCACCTGCTATGGCTATTCAACTCGATGGTTATTGTGTAACCCTGATGGTCTTTGAATTGCCATCGTCCTGCTACCAGGCCCACAGGCAGGACACCATTTTCCCATTCCTATGGAGTTTAGAAAGAGAACTCTGTCCCTTGTTCCTCAACCATTATTCTTGCTAGTAGTAACTATCTGGCAGTACTTGATATCTTACTGAGCTGGACGTAAAGAAGCTAAAGTTGGTTCGTATTTTCCCACTACGATGTCAAACCCATAAAATACTCAAGGAACCAGAAAGAAAATGAATACTAAAGTATTCTTTAAATACTGAAAAAGTTGCTTTTGGTTAATAACATCATCAGTCAATTAATTTTCACTATAGTAAAAATGTAAAACATGCTTTATATGTCTTGTCCAACATCTATAGACTATAGATGATATAGTCACTAAGTCAATAAAATCTGCCAAGGTCCTTGTGTTTATTTTGTTTAACAAGCAAACATTTCTTGAATTTTCTGATGGATAAGGATTGACTACATGTTTGGAAAACACATTGTCTTCTAAAGTGAGCAGTAACTAAAATTTAAGAATAGAATTGGAATGTGGAAACCTGCGCCTGGAATGGAAAGCCTAGTTCACACTGTTGCACTGAAATATTCATGCGGTTTACCTTCAAATGACCACTGGCCAACTCCATCAGCCACACCAAACCAGCCATCACACGCAATAAAATATGCATCTTCTCCACCTGTTGCTGCCTGGAAAGTTATTCAAACCATAATTGAAGCATCAGGTGAACCATTAGTGTTTCTGACTTACAGTAATAGTGTTATCAAATGGAGTACCAAAGAAAAGTATGTAGAATGTGGAAGCAATAATTAACTGCTTATTTCAGCAATAGACATACTTTAAATGAATTTGCTTCTGTGATAGGGTCAAGATAGACTAAAGTCCAAAGGTATACAGCATAAAAGAGAACACGTAGCGCAATTATTAGTACCTTAGAAGGATGAGGCAAGATCGCAGCACCTGATGCCAACACAAGCGTTGATGAGGCTACTGGAACCATCCTTTATATGAATTACAACATGACAAAATTATTAAAGCTGTTTTTGGAGGTCCAGGTTTAAAAGCATAAAGACAGGAAAAGCCATAAGATATGTTTGCATGAAAAAGTTGCCTAACTAAATGAAGACAAAATACAGGTCATATCCAGCTTTGTAAGCATCAGATGCGCACAACCATTACTGCACAAACTTGTATGGAAATATATGAGCTATTAATAATTTACTGAATGCCTTTATGATTTGAAACACTTGAAATCGAAGTAAGAAAACAAATTAATACCTATCAGTATTCTTCACCTCTGAAGTGTCCTTTTCCCAATCTACCTTGTTACAAACTTCTTCCTATAGGGAAAAAGAGAGAACATTAGGCCCTCACTTGCACAAATCAAACTAAATACCACCATGCGGTAAATATCTGATAGCACAAGATCTATGCCCCCAAGTACAGATCATATTCACAACAATATTACCATTGTGCGACTAAATTTCTAGAGGCATATACCAAACTCTCAAGGTGTATGTCTGGACCCAGTTTTTATGAAGTGTTGATTTGAAACAGAGGCAGTGTGTTTTAGTATAAGGTATGATCCCTTACAAGATACTGTCATAGTATAAGGCAGGAGCAGACAAAACAAAAATATCGTGACAACAACAGATGATATACAACATTGATCCCGAGTATGAACAGATGGGGAAAGCGACCACATAACAACTGGCCCTCATCCAAACAAAATTGTTACAGACATCAGTGAGCTGCGGTTATAAAAAAAAAAAAAGAGGAAACCGAGGGTCCACCAAAATGCTTCAAGTTTCTGACTTTGTGTGTGTCCATGAACTTAGTAAATGATTTACTAGTGCAGGTACCAACAACATGAACTCTTCAATTTACTCCTTGTAAACAGATACTAGTAAACAAATTACAAATCGATTGAAGCATTAACCGAGTCACCCAACCTTGTCAAGAAAAAATTACCATCTTCAATCATTCACAATTGACAGCATCCTTTTTTCAGAAATTAACCATGTTTCACAATTCACAGCATCCATTTTCAGAAAAAAAATTACTACAAATATATTTTTCTTGATGAAGGTACGGGTGAAATCGGGTGAGGAATATCAATCAGGGCGTATCGAAATCAGAGGAGTAAAATTGAGCAGGTGAGGGAAGGGGAGAGGCATACCGCCGGTGGCGGCGGGACGGCGAACTCGGCGGGCTGGTCGTCGTCGGCGGCGGTGGAGGCGCTGGACTCGGTGTCGACGTCGGTGTCGGAATCCCGCGCGGTGGAGCCATCCGAGGCCTCCTCCCCCGCATCCTCCAAACCGGAGGTCGCCGTCGCCTCCGCTCCTCCACTCGCCACCACCTCCTCCGCGTCCAAACCCGTCGCCGTCGCCGTCACCTCCCCTTCTCCACCGCCATCCCGGGCCTCAGGTTCAGCAGCTGCGGCGGCGTCACCGTCGAGCCCTGATTCGACGACGGCCGCGGCCTCGGGAGCCACGGCGTCCGCCCGCCGCTGCTGCTGCTCCTCGTCGTCGTCGTCCCGGGGGCGCGCGAAGCGGAAGACGATGCTCCCGTCGGCGAGCTCTGGGCGGGAGCAAGAGAGAGAGACAAGTGAGACCGAGAGCGGCAGAGACGCTAGCTGCTAGGCTGCTGCTGCTGCTACTGCTTACCGGTGGAGGAGTGGAGGTCGGGGGCGGCGCGGCAGGCGGTGGCGGTGGAGTGGGGGCGGCGGTGGTGGCGAGGGGAGGGGGAGACGGGGAGGGGCGGGGGAGGGGGAGGGGCGAGCTTGCAGGGGCGCAGGTCGAGCAGCCCCGCCGCCAGCGGCAGCTCCGCCATGGCTCACCTCGAGCAAGCAAAGAGAGATTTGAAAATGGAGATGAGCTCGAGAGAGAGGAGGAGGAGGAGACGAGGTTTTTTGTGCTGGAGTAGTAGTGGTGGGAGTGAAGAGATTAGCGTTGGTTTCTAGGCGAGGAGGAATGAGATTATTATGAGAAGGGGTAAGGAAACAAACAAGGAGGGAAGGGGACACTGGGGGGTGGGCCCGGGGTGGAGTAATGGTGAGTTAATCTGGGTGGTTAACGGTGCAACATAAAGAAATGGGTTTGGACGGTGGTGCTAATTGTGTGGTCGTTATTTTTGCATTTACCCACCGGTAACTCCGTCGCAAAGGTTCATCCTACAAACACAGCCTCCTACTAATTGGCTATAAATAAACCCTAACCTGTATAAAGGTATATACTCGCACACACTATCCTATATATTCCTACTACACATATCTTGTACAAGAAAAATAGAATCACAGGAAACAGGAATAGAAAATTAGAAGAATAAAAAAACACATAGGAGTAAGTAAAAAACAGAGGATTATAAAACACAGAATAAATACATGAATGATCGTTCGATTAAACCACACAAAAATATAGAAATAATCATTTGATTGGACCACTGGAAAACACAGGATAAACACATAAATAATCGTTTGGTCGGACAACACGGAAAATGCAGGAATGATCATTTGATTGGACCACAGGAATTAGATGAGAGATAGAATCAGGAAAATTTTCAAGAGGTTGGAACTCTGGCTAAATTTATTTGAAAATCTCTATAGGATTGTCCATTACATAGGAACTAGCATGGTGGCCCGCGCAGATTGCGCGGCTAGTATCATTATATTTTCTCTCATATAATAGCATATATGTTTTTTATTATATTATTCAAATATATTAAAATGACAACATAATTTTAAATTTTACAATAACTTTACAAAACTACTAATGTGTAATATTCATATTGTATTTTATATACGTGTTAGTTATTAATTATTTTTAATATCAAATTTTAGTTATTTGTAAATTATATATATTCCTATATGGACTCTAGACTCGTCTTTTAATATATTTTTTAATTTCGAATTTTCTGTAAAAGTGTATTTCTATATAGACTCTATACTCTTCTTCCAACATTATTTATTTTTATTTCTAAATTTTTATTATTTCTAATTGTATTTCTATGTGGACTCTAAACTCATATTTCAATATTCTTTAATTTTTAATTTCGAATTTCAGTTACTTCTTGTATTCCTATATTGACTTTAAATTCTTCTTCCCATGTTTTTCTTAATTTCAAATTTTAGTTATTTGTAAATTGTATTTTTATACGGGCTCTAAACTCTACTTTTAATTTTATTATATTTATTTCAAATTTTAGTTAGTTTTAAATTCCTATATGGACTCTATACTCTACTTCTAATATTCCTTATTTTTAATTCTGTATTTCAGTTATTTCCTAATTATATTTCTATATGGACTCTATACTCTATTTCTAATATTCCTTATTTTTAATTCCGAATTTCAGTTATTTTCTAATTGTATTTCTATATGGACTTTATACTCTACTTCTAATATTCCTTATTTGTAATTCTAAATTTCAACTATTTCCTAATTGTATTCTATATGGACTTTATACTCTACTTCTAATATTCCTTATTTTTAATTCCGAATTTCAGCTATTTCCTAATTATATTTCTATATGGACTCTATACTCTACTTCTTATATTCCTTATTTTTAATTCTGAATTTCAGTTATTTCCTAATTGTATTTATATATGGACTCTATACTCTACTTCTAATATTCCTTATTTGTAATTCCGAATTTCAGCTATTTCCTAATTGTATTTCTATATGGACTCTATCCTCTACTTATAATATTCCTTATTTTTAATTCCGAATTTCAGCTATTTCCTAATTGTATTTCTATATGGACTCTATCCTCTACTTATAATATTCCTTATTTTTAATTCCGAATTTCAGCTATTTCCTAATTGTATTTCTATATGGACTCTAGTCTCCTCTTCTAATATTCCTTATTTTTTAATTCCGAGTTTCAGTTATTTCTAAATTGTATTTCTATATGGACTCTAGTCTCCTCTTATAATATTTCTTATTTTTTAATTCCGAATTTCAGCTATTTCTAAATTGTATTTCTATATGGACTCTGTCTTTTCTTTTTCTCCGATTAATGTGAGAATTTCTAGGCCATGAGAGCGAACGTGAAGGCTCCTTTTTCTATTCCTTTAATAATATAATAGATTCCAAAACATATGATATGATTTAATCATTTCTTTAAAAGGTCTTTATAGTAAATTTTCCTATATAATTAAAATTCTCTAAAATTTCTATGTTTTTCCTTCAAATCAAAGGGACCCTTCAAATTAATAAAGTCATCATGAACGCTGCATTATCGAATGGTACATCACCTACTTATAAAAAATAGTCATAAATATGAGCATCCATATTAAATATAGGACATAAACCTGAATGGACTGATTTCATCACAAACAACCTAACTAATTGAGCTACGATCAATTTGTATTTGGAGATAATATTTGACGTTGAGCATATGATTTGATGAAAAATGTTCAAACTTTGATGTTACTTTTATATCGAAATAAGTTTATAAAACCTACATGTTTTTCTAGGACTAAGACCTATATATTATGGTGTTTTTCATGGTAAATCTAGACAGATCATTTTGTATTTTTATAATCTACGGGGCTAAAAGTTTATCTCAAAATCGTCCTAAACATTAAATATATATGCTTGGAGCCTTAGAGGTAGTATAATTTTCATAAAATTCCTGATTCCAAACTAGTAGTAGTGCTACTACTCAAATTGTTTCTCCAAGTGTCATGTCAATGGGTGGTGTTGATACTAGCTAGACTCGCCAAACCTACGCATGGTCTCTACTTAGGTTGAGAGAAAAAAACATTTTTCCCGACGTAAGGGTCTTTTTTTCGCAGATGAACATGACTAGCCAAATGACCGCCTAAAAAATATAAATCGGCTTGTATCTTCTCACGGCTTTCTTTACGGTTACTCTTGATGCACCCCAATAACTACTGTATAGCTAGATTTTGTCGAATTTCATGTCAGCTGGTTTGGCTTGTTTTCCAACTATGGCTAGCCTAACATCACCCCTGTCACACACAAGATGTTACCCCCACCCTACGGCCAGTTGTCTATTTTGTCATATGCAATTTTTAGCCCCGTCTCTCCTCTCCATGACAAACGGCATTAGCAGAGTGATAATAACTTACTCTGTCGGTTTCATATTATAGGTCGCTTTGAGTTTTTTCCTATTTTTAAGTTTAAGTAAGTTTATAGAAAAAACATTTTAAACACCAAATCATTTTCATTAAATCTAGCACGGAATATATTTTGGTAATATGTTTGTTTTGTGTTAAAAAATACTTCTATATTTTTCTATAAACTTAATCAAATGTAAAAAAAATTGACTAAGAAAAAAATCAAAACAACTTATAATATGAAACGGGGAAGTAGACAAAATCAGATCTTCTGACGCATTGTCACCATGATGTCGTAGCTGACATGTGGACTCTAGACGATTGGTCTCATATGTCAATGACCATATCACCTATAGGATGAATATCATGTTCATCGAAGGACTTATGAATACTGTATTAGGATTATGGGCAAGGAAAATGCTCTGGTACTATGTAGCATATATGACTATAAGAATTTTATAGCTAATTATAAATCTAGTTCATAAGAAAAAACAATATATGTACCGATAGATATTGGTAATTTGGTACATAGCCATATTATAATACATATATGCATTATGATTTATCCATTTAATACCCAGATAAATAAAAAGCACAATAAATATAGGCATTTACTTTTTTTATCATACATAAATAAAAAAACCGTGTTCATTTCTTTATGTAACACTTTCTTCCAATTTGTTTCATATTTTAGGTTACCTTTTTCATTTTAAAAATTCTCCTATAATCTAAATAAAACTTTTAGTAAATTTCACAAAACTACATGTACTTTTAGAGGTGAAAACGGAGTGGATTCAGACGTATAGTGGTCATACCATATCCTAAACCATATTTTTTAAGCGGATTCAGAGCGGGTGCAGATAGTGTACGGATGCGGAGCGGATTGTTTCGGATGTCGGAAATGATACGGATTCGGTTCGGAAACGGATTAAATTTATCGGATGTTGCGTGTGTAATACAACATCGAGTTAGCAATGCAAAGAACAATAATACAATAATCAATAAACGATCCATCGTAATAATTATGTGCTTAAGTGTTAAACAGCATGAATATATGATGTTCATAATATAAAATTACAGCTACGCAAGTGTGACATGAAACGGTGAAAGTCTCAGACTAAGAAATCTAGGTTAATTGATGGGTTAGGCTATTAGATGGACCAACTTATGTTATATGCTATAGATAAAGTGGTCGCTTGCGTTGATAATTTTGGATTATCCGGCAAACGGTCTATTGGATAATCCGATGAAAATATCGGATAATTAGTATCCGCCGGATTTTAGAGATACCATATCCTCATCCGCATCCACATCCATATCCGCTGGATATCTAAAAGACCATACCATATCCTCGTTTCAAACGGATTCGGAGCGGATCGGATCGGATATTATCCGATCCGTTTTCACCCCTAGGTACTTTGGTCAAATTACCACAAAACTATAAATTTAACATGATATATTACAAATTTACATATTTAACGCTAAATTTGTCATAGAACTGTAGACTTAAGATAGAATATCGTAAAACTACAGATTTAATAACAAAATTATCACAAAACTATATGCTGAATATCAATTTAATCACAAAAATTGGACATTTATAACTCAAAAATAAAATTAATGCTACGGATTTAAACCCCAAAATCTGTAGTTTTATGATAATTTTATTGTTAAATATATAGTTTTGTAATACTTAGACTTAAACCTGTAGTTTTGTGATAAATTTATTATTAAATCTGTAGTATGATAATTTGAACAAAGTGCCTGTAGCTTTGTGGAATTTACTCTACGGATTTAGGTTACCTAGTTCTTTTACAACACATGTTTCTTCCTCCATGCACCCTGGTGTTGGCCGGCATGCATCTTTGATGT